ACTTCTACTTAATATTTTATATATTTATAATTTTATATTAAATCTTCTAATTTATAAAAAAGGTATAGCTTCACCACCACTACAAGCTAGTAATACTCTAGCAGCACAAGCTGCAAAAGTTTTTCTGAACGACGTCGTTCATACCCTTCATCTGCAAACCAAACCCCTCAAATTATCATTAGGGTTTCCTATCCCCGGCAAAATGGAGGTAGCGAACGCCACCAAACGGAAATTCGACGACGCCGTTTCTAATGGCGTCGCCACTGATGTTGATCTGTCTCTCCTCGAAGCCATCGAGAAATCGCAGAACACCATCGAAGTCCTCGACCTCCGAACCCTAAAGAAGCACGTTCTTTCCTTCGAGCGTCGCCTGAAGGAGAACATCGAAGCGCGCCTCAAGTACCCTAACCAACCGGACCGCTTCGCCGATTCCGAAGTCGAACTCCATGACGAGCTCCAGAAGCTCAAGGTCCTCGCTGGTGCGCCAGAGCTTTATCCGGACCTCGTCAGCCTCAACGTTGTTCCGTCAATCGTGGACCTCCTCAACCACGACAACACCGATATCGCCATCGATGTTGTTCAATTGCTGCAGGACCTCACTGATGAGGACGTTCTCGACGACAACGATGATTCTGCTAGGGTTTTGGTCGACGCGCTGGTTGATAACAGCGCTCTCGAGCTTCTGGTTCAGAATCTTCATAGATTGAATGACTCTGACACCGACGAAAATGCTGCCGTGTATGGAACCCTCGCGACAGTGGAGAATTTGATCGAGGTGAAGCCCGCGGTGGCGGAGTTAGTTTGCGAGAAGACGAAGTTGTTGAAGTGGCTTCTTGGGAAGATCAAGGTGAGGGAATTTGATAGCAATAAGCAGTATGCTTCGGAGATTTTGGCGATTTTGTTGCAGAGTAGTACGGTGAATCAGAAGAAGCTGGGGCAGATGAATGGGGTTGATGTGGTGCTTCAGGCCGTGGCCATGTACAAGTCTAAGGATCCTAAGAGTTCTGATGAGGAGGAGATGTTAGAGAATTTGTTTGATTGCTTGTGTTGTTTGTTGATGCCATTGGAGAATAAGGAGAGGTTTGTGAAGGCTGAAGGGGTGGAGTTGATGATAATTATTATGAAGCAGAAGAAGTTGGCGTATGGGTCGGCTATTAGAGCGCTTGATTTTGCCATGACTAAATACCCGCCGGCCTGTGAACGTTTTGTGGATGTTTTGGGGTTGAAGACAGCCTTTGCAGCTTTCATGGGTAAGGCAAGTACTACTAAAACATAACTTTCTCCCCTTGGCAGAAGTTTAAGCCTGTTTTTGAAATGCTGGTAGTAGTGTCTGTGATGGTTTATGTTGTTTGTTTTTTATTTGTTTGATAGTGTGTTGTGAACTTGCCTTTTGCTTTCGTCGTCTTCTGATTTGGTAGACGTGTTGTAAATGGATTATCTAAAGAAGTTGTCTGTTTTGATGCACAGATTCCCTTAAGTAAGAAGAACAAGAAGGAAAGGTACCAAGAGGATATGGAGGAGCGCCTTGTGTCACTGATTGCGTCATTATTTGGTAAGCAGGCAAGTGAACTTTTATGTGAGTTCAGACTTAGGATGTCTTGTTTGTTGGTGAATAACAGTTCCAGACTGTATGTGGAATTAGCCTTGTTTGAAATTTATTGTGGTCAAATGGTAGTTCCTCCGCAAATACACAGTACGTCCTGCATTTGACTGGGTGTGATGAGTTTTGAACACGAAGGGTTTGTTTTTATTTTTTTTCTTTAAACGGGTCACTGAAAATTTTCGGTTTTTTTAATGCCTGGTTGTTGTTTGTGAAGGTGTCTTTACATGCCTTTATGGATTAATTAAAATGTTGGTAGTGTCTATTACATGTTAATATGTATCTATGCAAATGGAAACAATTTTTTTAATTGTTCAAAGTGCCATTAGGTGCATCCAATAATGAAATTGAAACATGCATTTCAGTGAAACATGAATGTGTGCCATTGTTATCAGTATCTTACAATTCACAATATGATTCATTTGATACAGTACATATGTGTGATGTGATTTTGAGTGACTAGCAATGTGAATAGGATGCTAAATCATTTTGGCCCTTGAATCACGCCATGAATTGCGGGAAATGTGGTGCTTACTCTGAATCGTGACTTGATGTGTCTGATCTAACTGGGATGGATCATGTATGATCTGGCTTTGAAAACCCTAAAATTCTATATAGATATTTTTTTTTTTAAAGTATCAGTAGGAAAGAAAGGGAATCAACCTGATAGGTGGCTATTCTTCATGTGCATCTCATTTACCTATTTCTTGTTCTCTTCTATGCCTCTCCCTCACTGTGCTGTGTATTCCTCTATTCAACTGCTACAAGTTCTGGTCATTGTCTGCCACTAACATGTGTTCCTCTTTATGCACTACATGTGTTGACTTTTGACATGTTTCTTCATGTTAAATTGTTCCTAGATTTGTCGTATCGGTTATTGATCATGAATTTGTGCTTTCATATTCAATGTTAGTTGTGTATGCTATATTATTATTTGTTATTGATAATGAACTTTAGATTCATGACAGTTTGATCCACAGTTCGAAAAACAGTCTTTCCAGTGAATGATTTGAATCTTGATTCAATTATCATGGTGTCTATTAATACCATTTCTGATATTAAACTTTAGTGCTCTGTATTTTTGCCAGGTGGAATCTTGAGGGGTTCTAGGAGAGAAAGATTATTAAGTAAATTTGTTGAAAATGAGTGCGAGAAGATAGACAGACTGATGGAACTATACATCAGGTAGTTTGAATTTGTTATACGCATTGTGAATTTCATTATTATGGAGCTGTGAGAATGTTAAATAGTGCCCTACTTACACTAGTTAAGGAATTAAACATAGAGTTTTTAAAGGAAAGCGTTGTATTTAATGTTGCCAAAGCACCTCTACTGTAATTTCCAATAAAAAACATTTAACATTTATTGATTCATTGACCAGTACACTTAGCGTATTTATTTGCTGGAAATCAACTTATTCTCTTTTCTCCGAGCTTAAAGTTAGTCTACATATTTTCCTGTATATTGTAAAATTTCTGATTGGTAGTAAGCTCTCATGTTAAAGCTCATTCTCATTTAACAAACTTCTTTTCCATTTTATCCTAACCAGGTATTCAAATAGAGTCAGAGCAGAAACTGAACGGTTGAATCAAGTTGAATTTGATGACTTGGAGGTAGTTGATTTATTCTACTACTGCTTCTACGTGTCACACTGAAATGCCCTTTTTTAGCTCAATCTAATATTTCTGTATTTTGTAGATGGATGAAGATGAAATATACAATCGCAAACTAGAATCTGGACTTTACACCCTTCAGGTACGACAAATGCCATCCAGTGTTCGTTTTTTCTGTTTGAAGGAGAGACATCCATAATCACTTTAAAACCATGGATGCCACCATATATGATTTCCCAGGAAACATTTGTTCTTTATACATAATCAACTATATTATCATCTGGATTTTGCAAATGTCCTGTTTCTTTCCATTTCAAATAGCATGTAGGAGCTGATAAATGAAATTGCATTTAGGAAGAACTTTAGTATACCATTTCTGCAGCACATTTTATGTACTGACAATTTTATATATGGCTCTGCAGTTGATTGCTGTCATTTTGGGTCATATTTGGTGCTCAGAGTAAGTATTTGCATCTATATATTGGTAATGTCAAGAGAATAGATGTGTGTGTGCGAGTGTGTTCACCTGACTAGTGTTAATTAAATGTTTTGTGGTCAGACATCCACAAATGAGAGGGAGAATTGAGCTACTTCTCAAGCAGAACAAACTTAGTAAGAAGCATATAAAGGATATACTTCAGGTATGTATTCTCAACGATATACTAATCATCTTTCCATTGTTGGTTAGAAAAGTTTGTGTTGGTCGATGTCCCATGTCCAACTAAATATCAGTTTGCAATATTTCTTATATTTTTCCATATTTCAAGGCGTATGCAATTGCATGACTTAACCACCACCTTCCCCTACCCCTTAAAAACGAAGTTTTAAAATAATAATCTGAGCAGAAATTGCCCTTAGCACAGTGCTTTGGTTGTAGCATACATTTCCTTAAAAAGGTTGCGACCTTATAATTTTGAATAATTTTGTGAAAAAGAAACGGCAGAGTCTCAAATCTATTGGAATTTTTTTGTTTCAGGAGTATCATGACAATATTGGTGACCTTGACGGACCAGAAGAGAAAGAGAGAGCACAGACAAAAATTCAGAAGTTCATAATGGCATTATAATTAGCTAAGACTTGCAAACTTAAATGAAAATGAATGAAGTTATTCGTTAAGTGCTTGTAAAAGAGGAATAGATTAGTTAGGGTATTCGGAATGAAAAAACGCTTAACTGCGAATGTTGTTGAGATCATAGCCTTGTAATGTTTTCTTCCTCACACTTAGTGTAGTTATAATGTATGTTATTTTTTCCCCTGGAAGGGTGTCTTGAACTTTGTTTTTCTATTCTATTACCCATTCCATTAACTGTGCATTTCCGTAGTATAACCTGAAAGTAATCTGGTTGAGTGCGGTAGTTAAAGTTTTGTTGTAGTAATCATTTTAATTTGAGCCTTTGATGTTTCAGGTAAATTTGTCTACGGTTATAATATGGTTCGCCTACAACCAGCAATTGTTCCTCCCGTCAAGAAACGTAACTATTGTTTAGTAATATTCTTTTTGCACATAGTAATAAGATGAGGAAAATATAAATTAAGAATTGGACAATGGTATGTTAGGGTAATTTTTTTACTGAAGTAATTATACCATTCTATTTATAAGTTGTTTTTAATATAGGAATTATATATTGTAAAGTTTATTCTGTTCGATCCTGTAATAAGGCTGGTATGACATTGGGGATTCAGTGACAAAATAAGCAGCGTAAGTAAATGTTTCACTGGCCGTATATTTAAAAGTAATAAAATCGTGGAATCTGAACATAATGCAAGAATGGTTTCATATATTTTTCATTGAATTTTAGAAATCAATAAAGTCACCCTTGCTTTATTTTGACAATTGTACACAAATTTACAGTATATTAATCTAACGTCCCAGGTGACACTCTTCAGCCGTGCTGATACTCTATATTTTGTACATACTACGGCTGTAAACTGTTACAAAGCTTGGATTTGGCCCTAAATCTTAAACAACAATATAAAAGGATACAACTCACAACATCTGCAGGCAAACTCTAACAATTCACTAGTCGTATTTGTTGTTCCGGGGTACAGTCTGTAGAGTCTCCCATTCTTCACCACCTTGGTGCCCTTGGCCTGCCCCTGAAAGACCCTCTGCTATATAGTCATAAATGATTAGGTCTCCAAACTAGCAATAAAAGTTATCATTTGCCTACTTAAAATACACTTCTTAAAAGTTATCATTTGCCTACTTAGTCTTTAATGAGTAAAATGAAAATTGATGGGCAGGTTGGTATTCACTAACCTGAAGGCGGTAGCAGTAGTTCGAGAAGGGCCCCCTAGACTGAGTTTCTTAAACGGGGTATTTGATTCATCAAGTAGTTCAATAAGCAAGGCTTCGCTCTCAATGGCCTTGGCCAGTTTTTTGTCATCGTCGGCCTTATGGAAACACTCTCTTTCCTTAGCATCATTGACTAGATTTCTCCATAGAGAATCACTACTGCTTAAAGTTTTTTCATTCCCTAATATCCATAGGCAATGTCTGCACAAATTAAACCCGGGTTTTAATCAATTTATGTAATTTTTCAGAACTTGAAAGAAGGAATGCTACGGTTATCTTATGTAAGAAACATACCTCGCCCGAGTCAATGCCACATTGGCTCTTTGCCTGTTGTCAAGGAAACCTATATTTCCATTCCCATTTGATCTCACAGTGGAGATTATTATTATATCTTCTTCACCACCTTGAAAGCCATCGACAGAACGAACACTAACAGAAAAGTTAGGATCAGAAACCAAATTTTGGTGCTTAATTCTTTCCTGGATTTCAGACACCTGACCATTATATGGAGATATGATTCCTATGCTAACTTTCTTCTTTGACCTCAAAAATTCTGTAGCAAAAAAAGAAATGATGTCGAGGGTTATATTATTGTATCCAAAAGAAGTTTTCTTATTTCAAACTAATACAGCAAACGATTCACAGACACATAATTCGACACTAGAAGGAGGGAGAAAAAAGAAACCATTTTCAAGGCTTTCTATAATCTTGCAAACAACAGCAGCCTCAGCCATGTTCTTCCACCCGTGGCCACGACCAGGTTTCTGCTCTTTACCCTTAGCTATGTTTATAAATGAATATGAAGCATACATTTTTCCTTCAAGGAAGCGCCTATTATAGTCTATTTCTCTGACAAAAGGGGCATCAGAAAGTTGCTCCTCATAGAACTCCTTATTTGGGAATAAGCTGATGGATGGGTGCATTCTATACTGAACATTAAGCAGATGCTTCTTGTACCCTAATGATACCAGCCTCTCAAACAAACTTCTTCCATATTCAGCCTCTTCAGAAACCTAAAATTTGACCATGTAATCATATTAAAAACTAGCCCTTAAAGATGTGCACACAGTCCAATCATCAAGAATGTCAAAAAAGGTAAATACCTGGCTTTTCACTACCGCAGGAAGCTGTCTCTCGTCACCAATGAGGATTACATGGCGAAGGCCTGGTAGCTGCAATGGAATTGTCGATTCACATTCTTTCAGTTGCGCTGCTTCATCAATAACTAAGAATTCTACTGGTGTCATTCCATCTTCGAATAATTTTGTTGAACTTGATGCAGTACAGAAAATCAGGCGTGCTCTCATCAAGCAAAATTTTGCCATTTCATATTTGTCCCTGATGTTTGGAAGTAAAATTGTCTGAGAAAGTGATCTCAGTTTGATAAGGCACTCTTCCTTTTTTATGCTTAACCTTCGAAGGAAGTCAACAATGCTTTCTCCTTCCTCACAGCCACCGGAAGTTTGCTTCAACTTGGCTTTGCACAGAGAGTTTTCAAGAGATCTTAGCAAATCAAGAGCAATAGGAATTTTCTTTATCTCCGCAAGTGGAACTAAAGAAGTCGGAAGGTGCATGCGCAAAGTTCCCAGGTTTTTCTCCATTTGCTCTGTATTGGAACGGAATCTCTCTATAAAAAATTGATCCAGAGTCTTGATGCTTTTCTTTTTTTCATCCTTATACAAAAGGTATTGCTCAGTAATGCTGCTAGTGAACTCCTTCAAAAGTTCCAAGGTAAGAGGATCATCATTCTTCTCGCTGAAGTACTTTTGCTTAGCAAATTCTTCCAATGACTTGACACTATTTTCTTCCTCACGCTTATATGAATCATATTGCTCTTCGGGGTACTCAAGCAACTTGATCATAGATTCCAAGGAATGTTTCCATCCAGAACACTTCAAAAGGTTGTCTACACGATAATCAAGAAAGACATCACTGAGGCCTCGATAACAGTCTACTTTCATTCGAGATTTATTGCCAAATACAACTATGTCACCAAATCCAATATCAAACTCAAGTGATTCCTTAACTAAATTATGCAGGCGAGCAGCCACTTCCAGAACTGCAGTATTAGTTGGAGCACATGTTAATGTTCTCACTTTTAACTCAAGCAGGGAAAATAACAAGGAAGCTACTGTCTTTGTTTTGCCAGTTCCTGGTGGCCCCCAAATAAGTTTAACAGTATCATTATGTTGGCATTCCCTTGAAGCAACACAGTTTAAAACTGCATCTTTCTGGGATTCGTTCAGATTCTGAGATCGGACTATGTTTTTTACTTTAGAACAAGTTGCACTATCTTTTTCACCAGAAAAACAAAGTTGACAGATTTCTCCATTCTGTGAAACATAAGAAAGAGTAGTTATGATGAATAAACATGATATACATTGACTTTACTATAAAGTTTCTACAGTGTCATCTAATCACACATTATCGAGTATAATAATTTTGTTCACTTTTACAATAACAACTTTAAAAATAATATTAAAAGCGATTTTTGATTGGCTGACATTGTAAAAACTGACAGTACATGTCTACTACTCAATACTCATTAGGTAGCTATGTTTCGTTGATAACTATGTAGTGAGAGAATCTCAAGAGGGGAAATGATCCTAACAAAAACATTGAATTTCAACATACCACATGAGCAACAAATGCATGCACATTTCAAAATATGTACATATGCAGAAGAAGTTACCAATGCTAATTAAATAAGAAAAAAAAAAGCTCTAGTAATGTCATCGTTATCCAATGATAAGAAATCTCTGAGTTGACTAGAGATTCATACCTTTGAGTCAGCTTGCAGAACTTTCCTCATCATGCTCAAGCTTGAACCCTCCAGCTGCAATTTCAAGGCTTTCCAAATTCGAACATTTGTGGTAAGGTTCAGAAGACAGAAGGCGTAAAGCTTTTGTGCATTGTTGCTACTCTCGGCATAAAGCTTTGGTGCACTGCTGCTCGTCAAGGAAAACGGAATGTCCATGTCAAAGCTTTTGGATGAGAGTATTGAGATCTTGTCAATACTTTCTTTTATTCCATGAACATATCCAATATGGTAGCTTGTTTTGGACCTGTTCAAGTCATCTACGGATTTTGGTTTAAAATCTGTGAAGGCAATGAGATCTCCAACCTCAGGCTCATATTTTCCATCCTCATCACTGTTGGTTCTATTCACTGCAATTTGGTAGAACAAGTGCTTGGTAGGTGTGAAGCTTCTCGACCTTTCAAGTTCAACGCTCGAGATTTCACAAAAGGGAGCCTTTGACACACCTTTCAAGCTTGAAGACAGGTCGCTGCGAGTCTCCTCAATCAGAGAAGGAACGAAGGAGTTCAAGTAACCTGTTATTGACAAAAATGTCTGTGGAATCTTCCTTACCTGGGAGGAAACAATGCTTCAGACTTACATAGTTTTACGATAACAAAGCTTCGTAGACATCAAAATAAACTTTAAAAAGTTAGTATAACAAAGAAATAACTTGTTTTATTTTCATCTATGAATACTCAAAAAATTATTCAAACAGGGTTTACTAGGCATAGGTATGTTTCTCTTGCCAAACTGTAAACCACTGTAAGCAGTGATCAAACGAAAACCAGATTTCATATTTTCCCAACCACTGTAAATGAATGTGATACACGCAGCTTTAAAGTTCATTTTCCAGTCTAAAACAGATGCAGCAAAATCAGGAAAACTATGAAGTGTAGAATCTTTAGAACCACATGGACGATTGACTTCATGTGTTTCTCAGATATTTTTTGGAAGTTAATGTGTTTTTCATCACGAGCATTGGAAAAAAAAGTAAAAAACAACCTTGTGTTTGCAGAGGTTTTCATTGAGAACATCCTTGACAGTCCAAGAAAATACAGTCTCGAGCAAATCAAGACCATCTTCTATGGCACTACAGCTTCTCTCCATCATTTTCTCTGTGATAAACTCTAGCAGAAGAATGTTATTCGCAAACCAAAACAAAAGGACAGAGAGATACAATACAAAGGATCCCTTACATGCAAAGGAAATAAATAGTTTCCACAAAACTTCCTCAACAAGTATACCAACTTCAATATCCACCGTTAAAGTTAAAAAAAGATTCTCCTACTTGATGTGCTCATAAAAGCAATTTACCCTACACTTAAACCTTATAAGAAAAAACAAGAAATATTACTTTTTCTTACATAAACTTTTTAGATTAATTTGATATCATGTTTTTATTTTTTATTTTTTTTAAATATAAAAGTTTATTCTTTTATAATAATTTTATTTTTATAATATATATCAAATGAATATATATAATAATTATTTTTTTTATGACGATCTTATCTTTATAATATTTATGAAATGAATGTAAATGTATATTATGGTTATTCTGTTTGAGAAATTATGGAAGAAATGTACGTAAGACATTGACTCAAAGTCAATTGTAAGTGATTCGATGGGAACGCATAAAGAGGTATGCCACTCCGTCTTGTGCTCTGTTCATTAGTTACTTACACTGCAATTTTTGTGGAATGTGAAATTGTAGAAGATTCGTTGCATTTATTTCTATCACTTCTCTAATGTTGTCTACTTCTTTCTCCACTCTAATGGAAAAGTTTCTCAACCAATAATATCTTCCTTAATGTTTAAGACTCCATAGATACACAACATAAACACACATCAGTAATTTTTTTTTACAGGATTAATATAACTTTTTGTCTCAATTTTTTAGTAATTATTCTGATGCTTTATTAAAATAAATTAATGTGATGAATAGAGTCTGTGTATTCATTTACACAGATGGAAAATATCTTATTTTGTGAAGATTGAAAACAGTAACGAAATAAAGTTTTTCGCAAGTTGATTGAAGATTGAATGTTTGATAATAATTGTGCTTGCGCTTGTGGATTTTTCCTGTGACAACGAGAAAAATTTAATGATGTATGAAAAAAAAAGACTTACAAATATCAAAACTTTAAGATTTTTATATTAAATGTTATTATAGGTTTCTTCTAGGAAGATCACATATTTTATAGGTGAAAATTTTATCAGTCTAGTCTTCTCAAGTAAAAAGAATTCCAACAATTTGTATAATTGGCCAAATTTCCAATGATTTGGAAGCAACATTTTTATAGCGGGTGATAACATTTAATTGCTAAAAATAAAATTAAAATAAAAAGTGATATTAATTTTTTATATTGTAAGTTAATCTCTGCTGATCTAGTAGAGCTACCTACAAAGTATTTGTAAATGACTAAAATATGTACACACAAGAAAAAATTGATGATCAACAAATTAAGAAGTCTACTACTATAATTCATTTAGCCTAAAGATGAATAAGAGTAAAAACTATAAGTTGTAATCTAACTCCACCTAACTAAGTAGTCAAATATAAAACACATGACTAAAATATTTAGAAATAAAAATATGTTAGTTGAATAATAAGTTTCCTATTATAATTGACGTGGTATAAAGAATTTGTATACAAATATAACTAAACAAAAATATAAAAATAGTGAATTATAGTTTCTTATTATATATATCCAAAATTGGTAAGATCCTTCTCTTTTATTTTTAAGATTTTCATCTGATCATAACTTTAGCTTAAAATTATGTTTAGCCATTTTTTTCATATTCAACTCTATTATGCTCAAATGTCAATTTAGTTATAAAGCACCACCAAACTCAAGCAATTTCTTTTAGTATTGTATACTTTAATTTCTTTTAGCATTCCATACCACTTTTCTGTAATTTTTATAAGTATGAAAAAAACTCAAATCATCCATTAGTCGAAAACACTTTCAATTATATAATTCATAAATTTGTTCTGAATTGTACAATTTAAAATTAAAAAAAAATCACCTTAAAAGCATATTTTAGAACATGGGATTTAAAGTTTTGAATATGTTTCTATATACTCAAAAATATATTACAGATTATACAATATAAAACACATTTTTAAAATACATAATTCAAAATATAAATTAGAGTCTAAAAATATAGTCTAAATTATAGTTTGAAATTGAAGTTATAAAATGTGAAAATATATTTCGGACAGGTAATTTAAAACATATTTTTGTAATTGTGTGATTTGAAATTTACCTTTCTGCCACCCCCATACGAAGATGCATGAAGAAATCATAAAAGTGGGGGAAGAAATAGCCCAAGACTGAATAACATATGAGACCGATTTTTTTTTCCATCAAATCAAAAACTTTTCCTTTTACAAATACAAATCACTGAACTTTACAATCTCAAAGTTGGAAGAGCATTGGCACAGATAGACATCTTAAATCCTCTCACATCTAACGACCACTTTACTTACTAAAAATCTGATTAACCATCTAAAACTTTCTTACATTCACTTTTGTTGGTTCATGTTGTTTTTATAAGTGCAAGTGCATTAAAAACAGAAAAATCAACAACAACAAAAACATAAATCACAAAGAAACTGTACATCAGAAACATTCAACGTGTAATGTAACAAAAAGGACATCCCTTACACCATTCTAATGGCTGATTTACACATACAATCAGACTACTCAAATATTCATGTTTCGGAAAGGAATTTACTCTTGTTCGCTACACAAAGGAAATGTGAAACATCTCGATCATTAATGACAAAAGACAAGATTTTGACAAATGTATGGCTTGTTGGACAAGTTCGAGTAATATGAACTGTTGATCTTTTTCATCGATGATTATTAAGATTTTTCACTTTTCTCTCTAAAGTGAAAGCTTACTCCAGAAGAGTTAAATTCCTGTAGAAGAATATAACTTGTCTTGAGTCACAAACCATACTTCGTCCTTATCATGTCAGAAATATAGCCAAAGCAAACCCAAAAGAGGGATTATTTTTTACATAACCTATGACTGTATGCACAGAGTATACTCTTCTATATGTGTATATACACAATTGCTATTGACCTCGCTGTTGAAGCAGATACTTTCCCAAAAAACTCACTATTGCTCTCCAAACCAAAGCAGCTTTGATATAGGATTCCAAAATCTAATATTTCTGAAAAACAAGAAAAAAAGAAAGAATCATCATCTCTGGCTCGTCAATAAAAAAATGAAATAAACAACTTGAAATTTCACAAAGAAACCACATTGGAAAAATCAGAAACAAAATTGCCCTTACTTTCAAAAGTGTAGAGAGACCTTGATGGTGCTTATTTCTTAAATAAGTTTAAAGATGGACATACAAAGTGAGAAACCAAGATCGATATCTTATTTGGATTACCAAAGGAAAGGATTACTTTAGAATTTAGAAGAACTACCACAACAATCTAAAATAAGGCATGGCCTGACAATGAAGTCCCAATAAGGCAAAAAAAGAAAAACTTACCCATAACTTCTAACTGGTTGAAATTGAGTATATTACTCTGACCCCTTTTGTATTTTACTTGCACCACATTAACCTCCTCCGTGTTTAAACACCTTAAAAAATACGCATTAAAACACACCTCTTTTTGATTTTTTTATATATTCTTTTTCAAAACAAAGGTGAGGTGAGAGTAATATACTGTTGATTCTAATTTATGTTCCTCAGTCCGAGTGAAGAAAATTGGTTGCATAGAACTTGCATAGGATCTGGAAGATTATTATTTGTCAGATGATTCGAACTAGCAAGCCATGTCCCTGGAATGTCAAATTTCCTGCAGTAACCAATATAATATGTTAATGATTCTATTTGAAATAAATTTTCCACTATTTTTAACCATGTGAAGCTAATCAGAGTCTAGGAGTTATACCCATCATAACATCTGGTTTTGCAGAATCTAAGAATATCAGCGGAATAATTCCTGTATGAAATGTCAATATCCCTTGCCAAATTGGTTACCTCAGACAATGGCAAAACATCCCAAATCTTCAAAATTTGAACATAATTTGAGTTGTCCTTTATAACATCGATGGTCCAAACAAGATAAAGTGACTCATTGACCTTGTACAACTCCAATAGTTGGGAAGAAATATCATCCACAACTCCAAGATTTATTTCCCGTTTAGGCTGACGCCAACCACTTGAAAGTTGCCTCAGCAGGGAACATATTTTCTGGCAAATCTCAGAGCTCTTAATTCTTGCCATAGAGATTAGAAAACTTTGATTGAAGCAAACCTATAATAAAGTCAAGGGAGTTCATGAAAAAGGTAAAGCAGTTTGAGAATTGTCAGAAGACTTTAATCTGCTGCGACAGTCATAGGGGGATTAAAGAACTATAATTCATGAATACCATCATCTACTAAGGAGTGTGAATTTGAACTTTAGGACAATAATCGATCTGGTATGCATTTATGATGTGAGAAACTTTGTTTTAGTTGGAAATGTTCTCTGTCTCTTGTTATGTATGCTTTGAGAGTTTAACTTGAATTCTTATGTCTTTTTCAGTATTAAAAAAAAGTAGAGTCTCGAGAACAATTCTAAGTTCCGTACCTTCCACCTTGCTTTCCTGAAGAGTGGAGAACTCAAATGCAATAGATCACCAACTTGACCAATATCAATAATGGAAGTTGTAATAGCATGAGATAACCTATCATCCTCGTCAGCATTATGATAACACCCTCGAGACCTAGCATCAAGGACTATTCTCTCCCAAATAGAGCCACTATTCATCAAAGTTTCCCCATTACCTACTATCCAAAGACAATACCTGTATACATAAGGAACAGGACATTCATGATTACAACAGATGTAGAACAAATAGCGTGTATAATAAATGGGAACATATCATACCTTGCTCTTGTTAAAGCAACATTAGTTCTTTGAAGATTAGAAATAAAACCCACAAATCCCATGTTATTATATCTTACAGTGGATATTATTATCACATCCTCTTCACCACCTTGGAAACCATCAACAGTACAAACCTTCACAGAAAAGTTATGATCAACATCACCACCAATCCTTTTTCCAATAGCATCTTGTATGGCAATAACCTGAGCTTTATATGGAGATATAACACCAACACTAACAGTCCGTGTTCTAGAAACTGATTCTGTAAAGAGTCAATAGATGATAATTAAAATCCAAACATTACAATAAAAGTTACCATTCATAAATTACATGATGAAGAACTTATCACAAACATTTAGAGTTCAATTGGTTACTTTTACTCGTATAGATCACATAATGAAATTACCTTTGTAGAGCTCAAAAACAATCTCAGATACCACAGCTACTTCCACCCTATTTTTTCGGCTATTCCCTTCATCTAATTCATCTTGTCCATAAGCAACATTTATGAAAGAGTAGAACTTAAACATATCACCACCTATAAAATGCTTCCCATAGCTTCTTTCTTTGACCCTTGGAGAATCCAAAATTTGTTTGTCATAGAATTCCATATTTGGAAACAAGCTAATGGATGGATGCATTCTATACTGAATATTGAGAAGGTGTTTTTCATGACCTAGGAGGACCAGCCTTTCAAACAAACTTCTTCCAAACCCTGCCTTGCCGGAAATCTGTATATTCATAAAAATTTCTATATGTTGAAATTTTTGTCCATGAATTTCATAACAGAGCAAAAAAAGTGAGACATAATAACAAACATGCTTGCACAGTCAGGAAAACAGGAATTAACAAGACTGGAACACACCTCACTTTTGACTAGGGCAGGCAACTGTTTCTCGTCTCCAATAAGTACAGCATGACGAATACCAGGAAGTTGTAAAGGTATATTTGACTCACATTCTTTGAGTTGAGCAGCTTCATCGATAACTAACATTTCTAGTCTACAGTGTTCTACTGCATGCAATCTAGCAGAACTCGCAGCAGTACAAAAAAGCATGCGAGATCTTCTGAGACAAAAGTTTTTGATTGAATATTCATCACTAAAATCAGGAAGAACTAAGATATTTAGAAGAGATCTCAGCATTTTAAGGCATTCTTTCCTGGTTATACACAACTTAGCCTGCCAAGTACAGCAACTAGCTCTACTTTGATCAATAGTAGATATAGAAATGGCATCTTTAAATTCGTGATCAGTAACGGAATTGTTTGATAACACTTCTACAAAGACTTTAAGCCAGTCAAGACATTCAAATAAACTTTTGACCACTCTTAATGAAATAAAAGAAGTTGGCAAATGAGTACACATATCCACTGCAAATGTCCTCATCCGCCTCCTAATATAATTCAATTTTTTTGTGAAAAAATCATGAAATGTCAACCTTTTTATTTTATTCTCATGGAAAAGAAGATCCTTCATCTCCTGCTTATCATATTTGCTTTTGTTTGCCTCTTTAAAAGACAATCTGTTTTCTCTTAAAGTTCTATTAATTATTTTCATCCACTCATTTTGCTTCCAAATCTTGGGGTCCTGGGACATATTTATTTTCTCTTGATTTGTTTGTTGACTTGCAATTACATCATTCTCTTCCTTCAAGCAGTCATCACCTTTGATCTCATAATCCCTCTTTTCCTCACACTTTAAATATTCATGATACTGCTCTTCAGGGATTTCAAGTAACCGAATTACCAGTTCTAAATGATGTTTCCAACCAGACAAGGGTGCAAAGCACCTGGCAAGAATATTTACACGGTAATCAAGAAATATATCAAGAAGATCATCTCGATCGTCAATACTCATCCGCTTTCTATTGCCAAATAACACTATGTCTCCAAGACCATAAGTGTGATAATCAATGGAGTCCATCACTAGCCTAAGAAACCTGGAAATCACTTCCAGCACAGCCACATTAGTTGGGGCACAAGTAAGTGTTCTGCATTTCCTTTTGAGGAGGGCAAATAGTAATGAGCCAACTGTTTTTGTTTTCCCTGTCCCTGGAGGGCCCCAAATCAATTTCACAGTATTTTTGTGAGAGCACTCCCTTGCAGCTAAACAACTTAAAACTCCCTCTTCTTGAGCTTTGTTCAAATCAAATGATCGAATAACAGCACCAATATTTGACACATCAATAGTGTACCTTTCACTAGAGAAACATTGAGCGCAATTTCCCCCAACCTGTAAGAAGATGCAACATTTAAAGTACTTAATCATCTATCCAATCAATAAGGTTATCTTGACAAGGTAGAGGAACGAAATCAGAGGGTATTATAAAAAAGATCTAGCTTCATCTGCTAACCAGTTGTACAGTTATACCATGAACTAGACATTGCAAGGCACATATGGTAAAAGGCAGAGAATAAACCATTGCTCTTACAGCAGGATCAGGTTGGAGCAGTTGTTTGATCACATGGATATCTGGACCTTCTGGATCTGAGTTCAGTGCATTCCATATACGCATATTTGTTGTTATATTAATAAGATAGGCAGCAAAACCATATATGCCATATACATATGTGCCATCCTCCTGCCAGTACATTTCCAATTTAATGGGTTTTGAAGCTAGTATTTGAACCTCATAAACATCTTCCTCGTCTTTTTTCTTTCTAACCTTCCCAATTAAACCAGTAAGATAGGAATTTCCACGCTTGTTCAAATCATCTATGCATTTTGGCCTTGTTTTAGTCAAAGTAAAAAGTTGTCCAATCTCAGGCTCACATATATCCCCTTTTCTATCACTATCTACCAATGCTTTCATTTCTATCTGGTATAACAAATCATGTGGAGGTTTATAATTTTCAGAAAAAGCAATGTCGGTTATTTCATACACTGGAGCCTCTGACAACATCTTCATGCTTGAGCATAAATCTGTACGAGTTTCCTCAATAAGTGGAAAAGTAAATGATTTCAAATAGTGAGCTACGGACAAGAATGTCTTTGGAATTTGCTTCACCTATTAAAACGTACAAACATAACAGCTTTAGAATATAATTATATGCAAAAGAGGTAAGGAGCTTCTTCTAGTATGCAATGAATGTTGACTACACAATCAGGAATTTATCAACATATTAGAAAGATGTAAATCCTCAGTACTAACCCATAACTGCATGCAGCCTGTAAGAATTATTTTCGCTTACACATAACATAACTCATTGCTCCGTACAAAAATCAATATAAAAAGAAAAAGAGGAAAAACGATCATTTTTTCACATCAAAGAACATACTCAATGAAGAATCCTCAAGCATTTTAAGAACTAAAGAAAACTCGGAAAGCCCTTGTATGCGTGATTACGGTGATCACACCTACTTATAGATAGATGTATGATGCATGGATACAATATGTGTATCAAATATTATCCGATAGGGTGATATGATATGTTTATTTTTAAATTGCCAGGTTACTATATGTGACACTTGCATATCTAAAATTTATAAAAATTCTTAGAACATAAAGTATATATAATAGCAATTGCGAGAATGCAAAGTAAAAACACATTTCTCAGGCATTGTAAGAAAAACTATAACCTATCATCATCATAAAAGTATTAGTACTTCATATATTAGATACTTCATCAATAAGTCCTGGCAAATGTTAGAGTACTGGATATGGATATGTGACACATATTCCCCTCTAGAAATCACTATATATTGGGCTCAAATCAAACGATCCAGAATCAGACAGTCCACTTATGTTGTCAAACAAATTGAATAACACCTACACTAAGAAACAGTGTAAAGAGGAAAATTGAGTTATTACACCAACACTAAGGAACAATGTAAATACCACATAAAACTCAACGTATACGACAGACAGCAAGTTGCTTAAAGCCTACCAGCCTAACTGTACAGTAGCTACAAAAACATTCATACACTGAAAAATTCCATGGGAGGAAAATTCAAAGTTTTAAAGCAAGAACTTACAGCGTAATTTAACCTAAAACTAGCACTGGTGAGTTCGGGAAAAAATAAAACGTCACAGAGGAACGAATGACCATTGAATAAAGATAGGGCATGAGTAACCTGACCTTGTCTTTGTAAAGATCATTGTTGAGTATATCCTCAAGAGACCAAGATAATATCAATCTCGAAAAGCCCTCACTCGTTTCCATCACTTGGTTTCTAAAAAAATTCAATCACATTATCACTCACTGATACAGAAACTCAATGATCAATGACGGAAAACGGATACACAGGAATGTACCTTTTGAATTTACCGGTGCGGAGAGAAGAAACAACTGCCTTGCAGAGAGAACATTCCAGAACTTTACCCTCTCATACGTACCAAAACACACCAGTCAAGACAATTGCTAAATTTATATAGAGACGTCATTTTTTTAGTGAAAAAGGTTAGAAAAAAAATATATCTAGCATTCAAGATTTTATAAAAGAAGGAATATCCAAATTACTTACTTAAATTAATGTGTTTTATGTAAAATATGATTTAAAAATTTAATAGCTTTTATCACGTATAAAGAAAAGTATGTAGGTTAGTTATTTTGATAAGAGACTTATCACGTATTCATCGTGTAAGAACTAGTGGAGAGGGATCTGTATTCACTTTTTTTTTTCCTTGTAAAAGATTATGTTTTATTATAATTATTACAAAATATATTATGAAAAATAGTTATAAAATATTTTTTTATAGTTTTATAGCATAATGTTTTACTAAAAATAGTTTATGAGTAAAAAATATATTTACAAAATTTAAAAATAAAATAATAAATTTTGAAATTGTTAATTGAAAGTAGTTAATGGAAATTAAAAGAATATTCAAAAAAAATTAAATTAAAATAATATAATGAGTCATGTTAATAAAGAGTAAAATGAATAAAAATGTTACACCAAAACAACAGTGATAAATAGTTATAAAAATGGATTTCTTAATTAATAGTTATTGATTAATATTATATTTCATTATTTATTTATAAAAGAAAATTAGATTTATATAACTTTTTATGTTTATAGAAATACAAGTTTTCTTTATATATCTTAATACAATTTTCTTATATATTTTTCCATAAAAAAATTTATTCTGTTTTGGTTCTTATAATTTATTGTATTTGTTATTGTACCATCATAGTATTAAATAATGTTCGAGTATCAGTTTTAGTTTTTATATGAAATTGGTTTAAAGTTGGAATAAATTAATAGAAAACAAAAGCTGTTTGTTATTCAATGAACCATTTCACTTATTATAAGCAAGTGAAAACATATGGACTATGTGGGTATAGATTATATGTGTGTTTATTTGTTTGATAGTAAAAAATAATAAAAATATTATTATTATTATCATAAATAGTTTTTATTTATTTTACAGATGATTTTATAATTAAAGAGATATTAAATTTAAAAATAGTCGAATGGAAAAACGATTAAATTTAAATAAATTGCATTTAAAAGATAAAATTGATAAAATAATTATTTTAATTTAATTTTTTTAAAGAATAAAATTGAATAATTATTTATAAATTTAGATTATAAATGTTATTATAAATAATAAAGTAGTTATAAGGTTGTTATTCAACCAACAATCTTACCTTTTACAAATAATAAATCTTGTTATAAATTATAAATAATAAGGTATCCATAGCCTTTGAACACTTATATTTTTTTTGACTTAAAGTGACATCAATCTTAAATCAGAATACTAATAATTCACCTTAAAAACTAATTGTTGTTTGATTTAAATCATAACAGCTATAATAAATTGTCTATTTAAGTGATATTTTGTTTTTATCATTCCTAATACACTTTTAGATTTTGCTTTTATCTTCAATGTTTTTTCTCTTTTTTTTATTCTCATATAAAGATTTTAGTTTGCTTAATATCTATTATTTATTAGCATCTTTAAGTAATAAATTGTTTCTTAACTTTTCAAGTAGAAATAACCTATGCATTTTAAAAAAGAAATCTTAAATAAAAAGTATTGTCATGTAAATAGTGTATTTTTCTGTAACTAAAGTTTCGCATTTTATAATTCTTCAAGTCTTCCACGTTTAAAGGTGAAATCTAAAATAAGTTTAAGAGTTTTGTTTTTAAGGAATTTTCATGATCAACAGTGAGGGGTGCGGAAACATAAAGGCCCATTTGTACTGCGTATCACGATCAACACAAAAAAAATAGTCTAAGCCCAAAATTATTTTTTGATATTTTTATTATTTATTAAATTACAACATATGAAAAAAAAAACATTCATGAGTTGTGTCTTCCCCTCCTCGTTATTCCAGAATCTTCACCGCCCTGAGCTTAGAAACCCCATTTCAGTCTTCGATCTCAAATTTTGAATTCGTAAGTTCTTTTCCCACTTTCTAGACTTTAATAATAATTTCGAAGTTCCGTTTTTATATTTTTCCCATAGGATTTCAATTTGATCGATTTCATTACTTTATTTTTTCCTATGTTGTAATCTATGGCTTTTCTAGGTTTCAAAATTATGATCTTTTGCGTTGGATTTTTTCTGGGGCCGATTCTATTTTTTGAATGTAGTTATCGTTTGATACTGTGAAGGGAACATAATAGTGAGTGGTTGCTCCGCAGGAGAAGGTGTTGCATATAGACTTGACTGTGGGAAGATGCACCCTCCTTTAACATTGCACAAACACCCAATGTGCGCTGAAGTGAGTTTGTTCGATCACTCTGTTTAAAAATAGACCAAACTATTTACTATTATTATTTTATTCTTAAATAGATATTCTTGTTGTGTTATTGATAAACTTGTTGGTCATTATAAATTTGATGTTCATAGTTATGCCATGGGATGACGGTTAACTGTAGGATATTTGGTATCAATCCAGTATTCCGCTGGGTAAATCACCTTTGCAATGTAAACTTTTAATGGCTATGTGGAATTTTATGTTGGATGAATAGAATGAAGCTTTGATGACAATACTCAAAAAGCTTCAAACTCCTTTCATTGCCTTTGCAGTCCACGGTGGACTTTAGAAATTCTGGTTTTACTAAGCTACTATTTAGTTTGAGATTTTGTTTCTACATTATTTATTATCTTCAGAAGTTTGTATGGCAAAATGAGTACAGTAAAGACAGTTTTTATTGGTTTCTATTTTTACTTTTCCTTGTATAAGCTTTAGAATACCGGAAATAAAGTAAAAATAGAAAATAAGGGCAAAATTTTTCATTTGATCCTGAATTTCCCTGTAATTGGTCTTGCAAACGTGAAGCAGTATAACTTTAATTTAGACTGTGCGTTTATGCAGATTATTGAGCAGTTTCAAAAGTGTCATGTAGAACATCCAATTGCCAAATTCTTTGGCGAATGTACTGATTTGAAAATAAAATTGGATCGCTGTTTCAGAGAAGAGGTAGCCTTTTTCATTTCTTTCATCTTTTTTTTTTTTTTGTTAAGGATCTCTCTGTTTTGTTCTCCTAGAAAGCTTTGAAGCGGAAGGCTAATTTTGAAGAGAGCAAAAAGTTAAAGGAACAATTGCGAATTTTGAGGAAAGAAAATGCTGCAAGCAGCAGTCAATAGAAGGATTTTTTGAGATGTAGAAAATGCCAAACTGCTCTGCAAATTAGAACTATAATTTTATACAAGGCCTTGATATGATATACGTCTTACAGCCTTAAAAGAGGGTTATTAACCATATTGTTTGAAGTATTTTTTATGCCCCTGCCTGCTCTGTCTTTATCCTACTCAATCAATAATCATTGATTCATTATACGTGCTGCTCACTTACATGCATGCTACCCAGTCAATATTACATGTGTGTTGGCTGATGTAATTAGGATCTAAACTTGGAATCAGGAAATAAAAAGTTATTAGTTTCTAAGGTTCGAAATTTGCTATGACTTAGACAAAGCATAACATGTTTGGGTTCCACTGAGGACAGTGACTCAGAATGTTATAGTGCATATCCCTGCATGATGTAGGTGGTATGTATATAATATAACTTAGCTTGAAGATTACTTGCCTTGGGAACATTATGGCTGTGACTGTCAACTCTTTCTTTTACTAACTCTGTAGCACCCAGGTCTTATCTTTGATAAATGTTTTTTAGTATTTATAAGAGAAGGAAATACTCTAGATAAAACGATGTAAACTTTTTTTCACAAGTTAAAATTAACTTGTGTATTTTTAAAAGATTTTAGTGTATCTTAATTTGAAGATGAAAAAAGTCCAATTATTTTACATTTTTTAGTTACTTTATTTTATAGAAGCTACACAGAATTTCCTCTGAACAATTTTATATGGTTTCTAAAGTCTCTTATTTTTGTTGGCTTACCGCCCTACACAGAATTATTTTACATTTTCTCTGGATTTTTCAAATTGTAGTTTATTTCTTTGGTGAAGGTATTCAAAAGTCAAAACCAAAAGGAAGTAAAAAGAATTTTGAAGTAAATTTTTTTAATTTGTTTTCTCAAAATTTACTTCTAAATTCATTCTCATTTATTTTTAAATACACTCAAATAAACAACAAAAAATTTACCTTTAAATTCATTCAAACATTTTTTCTCAAATCCATTTAAATAAATAAAGTCTAAGTAATTAAATCCATTAATAAGAAACGGATATTTCTTAATTTAAACAAATATAATGTTGAATCTTAAACATAATTGACGAGCATCCAAAAGAGAGTTGGAATTTCAGTTTCACGCAGTGAACTTTTCCTTATTTGGCTTTTTGATCGAGTTTTCCAAGAGAATGCTGATATCTTAAAGACAAATTTGTGGTTAAAAGATAAAAGAAACAAGGAATAAAAGTTTTGATAAGCAAAATCCACAACTTTTAAAAGCTTTACTGGTTGAGATCGTATTTTGTGCTTCAATTCTGTAGGTGAAATTTACATCCAAAGAAAACAAAATCATAGGAAGTACTATTAACTTGGCAGCATTCCACCCAAGCAACTGTTTGGTTAAAACTTTCCACGTACTTAATTCTATATTAACACTGTCTATGTACTTAAGATTAAGGAAGTGATTTTCCCTTCGTTTCTGTTTACTTACGTGCCTTAGAAAAATCGTTTTAGGGCATCAGTGAGTGATATTGCCTCTGCTGCACTCTGGCCAGTCTTCCAGACCTTGAATTCTAAGGGTTTTGAAGAAGTTTCAGTCCATAGTTTGAGTGCAGTCATTGTATAGGGTCCTCCTGTTTCACCATAGGAACCTACACAATGCCAAATAGAAATATCAGGATTCTCCTTCACCTTTCTTGCGCTAGAAATGTCTCCAACATTTGCCTCTTGTTCATCATCGTCACTTAAAACGATCACATCTGTAGTTGGAATGGTCAATTCCATGTCTTCCACTCGAATAGCTGAGGTACATGTATCCTTGACACTTGCA